GTTAGTCGGGAGTTCACATAACTTCAAAAACGATTTTAATGCCGGCAACTACTGTATAAATAAAGTTAAATCAATTAGTCGAAGATGTTTAATTTACATTTTGTACATTATAAAAAAAATTGCATCTAAACTTCCAGCAATTACAGTGGGTAATTTTGAGATTCATTATTTCAAATTTTTAAAGTAATCCTTGATTTAAAATTTGTAGGTGATTGAACTTTAAATCTTATCTCTTTTTCAGTAGCTAAAAATACATAAAAGTTATCATTCATCTGTTGAGAAATAGAAACCTTGTAAATCAGTATTATTTGGTATTATTTGAAAATGTATCGGAAAAACAATCCTCGCAGACAGTTTAGGATGTGATACGATAAGGTAAAATGCCTAGGAAACTATCGGGCAGGGCATCGATCTTGGCACAAGAAACCGTTCAACGTATGTCCAGACTGACGCTCAGGTGTAGTAGTCGTTAACACTCATCGTATCGCTTCTTTGGTCGTGTATAAGTGAGGGATTCTACTTGGGGTTCGCCACGCCTCGCTTTGCCTCGCACAGCGTGTCCTACAAAACTCGTGGCAAATTAACATCGAAGCATTTATGACGACCTCTTTATCCGCTAGTACACGTACTCGCGCGTATGCCGCGTGTGCGTATGCTGGTTTCACCGAGGGACGTCGAACGGAGAATGAGATGCATTCCACGCGCGGTTGCGGTCGATCCTATCGTCGATTGACCATTACGGATATCGTAAGAAGTGTATCACTCTCTTTCTTCGAGAGTTCAGTTACATAGTAAAGCCCGGAATGATATTCCTGAAACCGCGAGTCGCTCATCAGGCAAATATTAAAATTGTTTCTGTCTCCATACTTAAAAAAATCTAATTTTACTTTTTTCTGGGAGTCGAACAAAATTCTTTTTAGAGCAAATACATTTGTACAATAGAAAATGAAAAGAATTTAAAGAGTCTTTTCTCACGTTTTAATGAATATGTACAGAAAGGTTTTGTTAAAGCTTTAAAGTTCTAAAAATTTAGTTGAATTCAGAAAATAATACACTAAAAATAATTTTATTGATCTATTAAAATAATTATGTCGAATGCTCAAGCTAATTGCAGCATGATTAATTTATTATGTTTGATATCCTTGATATCCTTATGTTGATAACCTTGTTTCTAAAGTTCTAATTATTGTTTTTATTATGTTTGAGTTTCTTATAAATTATTTGATAGTGTGTTTAACAAAAATATTATTTCCAAATCTGTAGTTAAATTTATAGATATTTCAGTAAAATTGTTTTCTTCAAAGAAAAATTATTTGCGATTCAATACGAGAAGGGATTTAACTGGAAAGAATGAACAATTCTGTGAAATATAAAAAAAAATGGAAATGCGCTGAATCAATGATTACGTTGCAATAAACGGTTGTGCTCGTAACTTATGAATCATATACATTCCCTCCGTCTTGAACGTTTTGAGCAATGGCGGTTTAATCTAATATTTATGCGTTTTTTCATTTGATTCAAGTATTTTTATAAAACTGCGTTTTGTGTTTATCTGAGATATTGGCTGACACGATTTTACAATCGCAATTATATACCGTATCATACATCACCCGAAGCGCAGTTAGTACAAAAAAATAAAAAGAAAATTAAATGAAAATAATACGATATATATAGAAATAATAATACGGAGAGAATGTATATAATTCATGAGTTACGAGCACAACCATTTATTGCAACGTAATTCATTAATTAATAAATCATTGATTCAGCGCATTTCCATTTTTTTTTATATTTTACAGAATTGTTCATTCTTTCCAGTTAAATCCCTTCTCGTACTGAATCGCAAACAATTTTTCTCTGAAAAGAATGATTTTACTGAAATATCTATAAATTTAACTACAGATTTGGAAATAATATTTTTGTTAAACACTATCAAAATAATTTATAAGAAATTCAAACACAATAAAAACAATAATTAGAACAAGGCTATCAACATAAGGATATCAAGGATATCATGATAATAAATTAATCATATTTTATATTCTATCATATTTATATCTATACTTTGAGTTTTCTACCGATATTCATCAGCTTGTTAAAATTATAATTTATAATGTTTATTTTAGCACTTACAGGAATATCATTTTCTGTCTATCTATCTGTCTCTTTTTCTCTCTCTCTCTCTCTCTCTCTCTCTCTCTCTCTCTCTTAGAAAAGTTTCAAAACTATATTATTTATATCATTATAATTAACTTAATAATTAATTCAAATTTTTTGATATGGAAATAATACAAGGAAAATATAACTTACAATTAGTCTTATTGTTAGTTTAACTTACTGTTAGTTTATATAACTTAATTTATATTTTTTTAATTTCGATTGTACATATGTAAATATAAATTGTAATATTACATAAATGTACATATAAAAACATAGCATGAACTATATATAAGTTATTATGATTGGATTATAAATAATTTTCATGTAATTTTTAAAGAAAAAAAAAATGAAAAAATTGGGATTAAATTTTTCATTCACAAGAGCAAATGAAATAAAATAAAATACTTCGTCAGAAAGTTTGAACAATGCAACCGATTGTGGAGCCGAACGGAAACAAAATTGCATTTCATTTCATGTATTTCAGAGTGAATTTTTGTGTTTACTGTAACTGTAGCATAGCCCAAAGGCACGCTGCGAATTCCTCGCAGCAGACGCATTCTGAATTTTCGATCATCAACGGAGTTTACGGTACAGTAGCGAGGCACACACGTCCATGGGAGTAGGTGACAATGACGATGCCGAAAAGACGATGCTATAAGTATGCAAAGGAGAGCCGACGAAGCAGGGCCAATGGAAGCCGCAGTTCGCGATCAGCAGGGAGCTGTCTGGTGTACGGACGCTTCGCGCAGCCGATATCGTCGTGTCGTCATACGTCGATAAATATAGAGACGAGTTCAGACTTTGTCGCGATGTTCCTGAGTGGCGTGTCAATCATTTAGATGATGGCAAGCACGATTTCAAACAGGACGAGAGCTGGATAGATCGCGTGCTGTTTCGATTTACGGTAAACCGAGCCGAAATCGAGCTCCATGGTCACAGAGGATCTTCCAAAACGAAAATGTCAGAATTAATTTCCAGCACTGAATGTTTAAGGATGTGTATCATGGAATTGAATTTATGATGATCTCATTACACACGCACTTTTGAGTTTGTACTCTTGGTTAATTATTACCGAGGATATTAATTATGATTTAAAATCGCCGAAATTCACAGACGCGCATCGATATGAACTGAACAACTACCGGAAGATTTGAGGTCGAAAATTCGAATTATAAGACATGGGAAGAACGATTTCGCTAAAGTATAATATTAAAAAATTTAGCTAGATACAGAAAATAATTGTAGATACAGAAAATAGCTAGTTATTGAAATAGCTAGTATCTGAAAATAACTTCGTTGGATTATTAAAATTTAATTATATAGAACTCTAAGCGTTGATGATAATGCTGCAAAAAGTTAGCATTTTAGCAATTAGTTCGAGCGTTTTACATAATTTTGATGGGTCAAACAAAATTATTTATAGATTTATATAGCTGTAAATTTTCAGATATCTTAATTAAAAACGTTTTTTTTCCGTGAAACCTTGAAATAATATAATATTCAGTTTGATTACGAAAGAAATAGAATGATTATTCTATTAAAAATCAGTATTATCCTTCAGTAGTATCCTTTTTTTATCTTCTATATCTTTTGTGTCTTCAATATTTTGATTTAGTTAATTTCTTATTGGTTGCTAGTATTTAATTCACCGTTGAATTATTTCATACTTTGGTGTCCGTCAAAAGTCGTTCACGATTGAAAAAAATATCGACTATTTCGTAGGTTATCCTATCGAAATAATCTAGTGTTCCGTTAACCATTGTTGACATTCACAATCGCACGATTGGTAATCCAGCAATAAGACTTGCATGCTATTTTCCGGTATCTCACCATTAACAATTACTTCATCGACTTCTATGGAAATAACAGTTATAAGCGTTTAAGATGATAACGCGGTTGAAGGTTTTTATTTCACACGTTTGAATTTGCATGTTTCAATCGTTTGCTAGTGTTTAAACCTCATTAATGCCATCAAAGTGACAATTAGTAGAAGAGAATAGTAATTGGTAGCCATATAATCATTCTTTTTTATCTAAGATATTCCGTATACACTGACAGACAAAAAAATTGTTGAAATTATCATAACTTGAATATAATATTTATAGTAATTTTTTATGCCAACTATATATTTTTTGATGTACAGAGTGTTCCCGGGCCAAACTTAAAATATGAATTTAGAATCTCAAAACAATAAACAATTTTCCTCTTAGAATTTTATTATAGCATTATAGCAACAACTATAAAAATGGAGCTTTTAACTTTATTAATTATTTTATTATGTAATTATGTAGTTACAAATATATTGAACACTGTTCTCTCATTGTCTGTAATTGCTTAATATAACTTTATAAGCACAGTTTATTTTTAAGTTCTGTCATATGATGTTCCGCGATTAATCAACACTGAAGATGGTGCTTCAACAAATAGTAATAGAAGAAATATTTTTCGACTTGCATCACACGCGTAAAATCGTCATCGCTTTATAAATTTCTTGAGGATCAATGCTTCTCGACAGGACAAAAACTTCCTCGATCCTGGGATGATTCATATCGCGCGTAATGCAGATACAATGGCTCGGAATGCAAACGGGATGGAGTGAGCTCATCAAGGATACGAGCGAGCCACACCGCACGCCATAATGTGGGTAATACGTAATGAGGACTTTACACATTCTTGAACGTTGACCGGTTTCTCTGCTCGTCTCTTTTGCTCTTGCTCCGGGAAAGATTTCTCTATGCTCGCGTCTCGCTTCAATCTTTTCTCCATTGCCTCGTCTTGCTTACGTTGAGTCCAGTTCACGTGAATTCACGGACCGCCAGTAATTCACACCGAAATGATCATTAGTTCAGGCACGCACAACCTGCACATTGTGCTACTTTGCCTGCATCCTCCTGCAAATTAAATATGTTAACAATATTGCGTAAAAGTTGTATCGGCAAGACGTAATGTATCTTTAATTGCACGAACTTTGCTATTAAAGTGAAATTATGCAAAATATCGAATAAATATAAATTACTGATATTTTGAATGACTGAAATATTTTCATAAAGAATGTTTCTTCGCTTCTTCCCTTCTTGAATTCCCCTTATCATCAATATCTCATTTACTTATTTATTAGAAGTGAAAAAAACGATTCTGACACGTAGGGAAGAATTCGCTGTGCAAAGAATTCGCCATGCGGTTTTAAAGATTGGTCGCAATCTAGCTTGAATCCGACTTTACCTTTTACGTTTCATTATAACGCTTATGCTATCGCACGTAGTATTTCGCGTGGACATGCAAAGACGCACACAGTAGTGCCGAGGAATGACGAACTTAGGCGGTGGAAGCAACGGTACTCTGTAGAATGAAATTATACGTGATGTACCCCCATGTTGATTACATAATCAATGTCTCGTCGGCAACGGATTGCTGAAGAAAAACTCCGATCGTTTATTGTCAGCTTGTAACTGCTTATAGAAGTAGAATAAAGGAAGTGATATATTTAGGTTAATATGAAAGAGGATAAATTTAATTGAATAGTAAAATTTATGAAGAGGAAAATATACATTGTCATATTGAAAATAGAACGGTTTAAAAAAAGATATCTAATTACGTTTTGCTTTCTTACCTACGTTAAGAGTTATCATGATTATACTGACTCCTAGGGAGGTAAAATTTAATTATTTTATCAATAATTACAACTAATTAATTAATAATTAATTTATTAATAATTACAACTAAACATTTTTTTTTCTTGATTACATTTTTTTGTCTTGAAATAAATCTCAGACTTCTTTCTATTTCAAAAAATTAAATTGCTGCTAACTTCTGCTAACTTTCGTCTAATCGAACATGTTTATACGACTGTAATGTTTGTTATTTCAGCATCCCCTTAAATATAATTGATTAACAATTATTTTTTAAGAGGCGTGTGTATTTGGATCCTTTTTCTATTTTTCTTAAAAGAAATTAGTTTTAGGATGTCTTATTATTTCAAAATTATTTACAATATCCGTAATCAAGATTATTTACAATGATATTATTTATCATTCGATTTTTAATCATAATAAGGATATAATAAGGTAATGCGAGGTAAGACTATCAATAATTGTATCTTATTATTTGCACAATTTATACAAGTCACTGCATAATTAAATAAGCATTCTAATTGTAAAGTAATTTTTATTAAGATATTAACAAATAATTACATAAATGTGATTGAATATTTTTTTAACAAATAATGAGTTATTCGCAGTATATGTATCACGTTCTTCTGATCAAATAAATTGATTATTCTACTTATTTCTTTTCAAATTATCAAACATAATTTTTTGTTCTGAAATTTCAAGTCTACGTTTTGCTATCTTGTCTGAAATCTGATCAGATACCAATATTAATTTGTTTTTCACGTAATTGTTTATCTAAAACAGATTATCTTAATTTTTATCAGCAATCCATTAATAATAATAATAATAAATTATGTACACACACACACACACACACACACACACACACGCGCGCGCGCGCGCACATATATATGTTGAATAATAATTTATTCTTGCACGATAACAATTTTATGCACGTTATCTAAGTAATTAAAACAAAATATTATTCAAATAGATAGAATATATAAAGAAAAATATATCCTTAACAATAAAAAATTAAATATATAGCTCTATAAGAAATATCAATAATGTTACCTTTTTAGAATACACTGTGTGATCAAGGAATATATGGGGAATATCATTAATAAATTTTGTTTCTGTATATTGTAGAAGATATTTCATTACTTTTCTCACCTGAAATAGATTATTTTGATGTTTGATATAAATAATAAATGATTTTACTTTATATATTAAAAGATTTTTAACGCATCATAGTTTTTGTGTTTAATATGATTGCAATAGTAGTTTAGTATTATTGCCACAAAAGATACATGACTTAAAGAAATAAAATTAATAATAGAATATTAATATAATTTAAAATGATTAATATAATTTAAAATTATAATTTACCTCTTCAAGTCGTTCCCAAGAATGTATATGGTTAATAATAATAATAAATGCTGTAATAGTACTAACTTCCCTATAAAATAAGATGCCTTTAATACATATAATATTTATTATATTTATAATAGAGAGAAAATGTATATTTATTAAGAAAATAACATTACTTTGGTTTTATTTTTTCATAATTTTCTTTTATGTATTCAAGTATTGTTCTTTCTTTTGCATGTTTTGCAATAGTGTACAAGAAACGATTAACACGTTTTTTGGCTAGCATATTTACATCCTTACATTCATTTCCAGAATTACAATCTTCCGATGTATTAATTGTTAGGTTCAAATAATTGTGAATAACATAAGAAGATCTACTACAAGATGCAAATTCCATTATCGCGTTATCATTAGATTTTTTCCACGTATCGTACAGTAACCACCAAGTGCTGTTATCAAATTCAGATTCCGTAAGACCATTACAAAATGTCCAACTTTTCCACCATGATAAAATTCTATATTTCCAGAAAATATAACAATCTATCAGAAATTATTTTATGCTCTCGTATCTTGAGCAAATACTTTTACAATTAAATAGTTTGAAAGAAATGTATAATATAAGAAATTGTAAAATATATTACCTATGTCCATCAGGATTGCGAAGATTATGTAATAAATGAAAACTGGCATTATTTAGACATTGGGATACGCCGAAAATACATGCCCATCTTGCAGCTTCTTGTCTTAAGGATTTAGTAAAGTCATCATCATTAAATGTTTCTAGATATCCGATATTATTAAGGAGATTGCTCAAAATATGTTTCATACGTATCTAAAGGTTGTTAAATAATATACATTTTATATTTATTCAATGCTTCTTATAAAGAAAGATAAATATAAATAGCCACATGCTTATCTCTTTACATCTTTTTCTTATTTTCTTTTACAAAATGCGAATACAATACAATTTCAAATCTTGCTTTATATTTCTTAAATACATATTTAATATATATTTTGTATATATCTTATACTGTGTAACTAATATTATATTTTTTTACAACAATTTTACTTGTTTTTAATATATTTTTGCTTGCTAAACACGTATCGTTTTTTAAATTAAATTATCACGTCACAGTTTTGAAAAATGACATCAAGGAGGCAAAAACTGAATTTTAGAGTTTTATGATGTTATAACATGAGTAGCAATCTTTTTTCTAAATTTCGTTAATGCTACACGAAACCTTTTATTAGCTTTTGAAACGCATTTTGTTTAGTCTTAGCATGAATTTTCCTTTATGAAAGATATCAATAAATTAAATCATTTTTTAAAAAATTATTATTTTTTGTTTAATATATAAAAAATTTTTTTCTGTCTTATATACTGTATTATGTGGAAAGTAAATGCTTTTATACTTGTACTTGTACATATAATTGCAGTGCTTTTGAGACTTGAGCCCTAGAATATCAAAGTATCAAGAGTGCTTGGGGGCGCTGCAACTTAAAAAATTTTAAAAATTAAGTTATTTTAACAAGCATATTTGTGCAATTTTGTAAAATATTGTTGAATAATCGATAAAAAGCGACTGTCATTATCAATATACGTATGTACTTGGTATATACATTGGTATATTTTTTGTAGTAACAGTATAGTAATGACGATATTTTCATGACTGTAATAATAACGTCAAGGGGAAATCTTTTAAAAATAACTTATTACTATTACTTTTATATACGCATTACTTTTTAAAAGTGACTTTCCGATACAAAGGAGAAATTGGTAAACTTTTATTTTCGAACTTATATTAAACTAATACGTATATATATTTTAAATACTATATAAAACTTATTTTAGAAATATACCCAACTATGGTAATATTTTTCGCAATAATTTTTTTTTACAAGTTTCTAAATAAATTTGAGGATTATTAATATATTTCAGATTCTTTGTATTGAAAGTAAATCGGCACACAGTCATATTTCTGAGATAAATTTTCTTAATGTATTGTATAATCGAATTATATTAAATTATAATAAAAAGATATGAAATTGACAAAATACATATATTTTGAAATAAATTATTATATATTTCATAAACAAAAATTCATATCAACACAAATTAAAATGCGTTTTAAAGCTAAAAATTGATACTTATGGCATGAGCAGCATGGCATTAACAAAATTTAGAAAAAAAAATGGGCAATATATTAATATTTTTATGTGCAAAATAATAAGGGAAATCATATTATGTAAAAGAAATAGCATAATTTTATTTTAAAAAATGGCTATAACCTTAATTCATATAATCATGAAAAACTATTTTTTTTTTAAATTAATTTTACTATTATTTGTACACTTCAAGTCACATAACTTTTATCTAAAACATTTTTGCTTATTCTATATGTATATAACATTTTTTGAGATTTGCTTGAAAATAATTTAATTAATTCTTTTATATGAATTAAATGGCTACATTCTTTTCTACAATATATATCATTATAATATACTATTATAATCATTTGAGCACGATTAAGAACATGTATTTTTTTGTAGTTGTTATACAAATAATTTGCAATGTTTCGCCAATTGTCAACTTCATAATTAACTCGATAATATCCTATTATATAAATAAAAAATATTTTGAAAAGTAAATATAAATATAATAAATATAATAAATTTTGTTAAAAATATTACCAGCTTGTTCAATATTGATTATTATCCAATGAAAATTGAAATTCAATACAAGATCATCGTACGGTTTAGAACCGTTATTGGTTGGCTTTAGCCATATAATATCAGAATTTTGATGTATTTCAGAATTGAGTTGTAATGTTATTGTTGTCACAGGTATCAATGGCATTTTTTCCTCCCATGAATTATAATTTTCCACTGAAATCACCGCTGATTTAGAATTTGTTTTTGTTATTTTTAGCACAGGATAATGTTGTGATGGATAAATCCAATTATTTATCATCTTTGTTACATCAAACCTACCCGGTAAACAATTTTTTATATACTTATAATTATATACAGAGTGTTTCAAAACGAATTATCACATAGACAGATAGAGCGGATTAACGGAGTCGAAAAGTCCTGTATTTTGCAATTTTCGCAACAGGTAACAAGATTAATTTCTGAACATCGCTGAATAGCACAGTTTATTACCAAATACATGTGTGCAATGAGATTGCCCACTGTTGTAGATTGCTAGATATGCGGGGAGTTATTTATTTAATTTATTGCAAGGTAACAAACGGCCTTGGCAACGCATAAACGACGAAAGAAAACACATACTCGCGCTGGATGGATCATTAATTACTGCAATAATTGCAAAATGGCACAAAACTTTTCAACTCAGTTTAGTCGACCTGCTCCTGAGAGATGATGCGGTCATTCTCGGACACATTGTATAAATGGTTATACATAATTATACAAAATTATATATAAAATATGAATATAATTATACTTAGGATGTCAGAAAATTCGCCTACTACTTCTTGAAATGATTTGGGATCCAAAAGGAAGGATCCAAAAGTTGTATAAAGGTATGAACATAAATTAAAAAATGAGCTATTTTCGATCCACTTTTATGTTAAAAAAATTGTTAGTTATTTTTCATAATTACAATCATAATAATCATAATTTCAAAGATACCAGAAGGTTTATGGGTTATCATCATGTTTTTATCCATTATTAATGCTAACATTTCGCGTGAACCTTATCCACTGATATCGGTGCACTTCTCATCCTGATGAACGGCAAGGTATACGAAACGATAGCATTAGCAATGGATCATGACACGTGCGATAATCCACAAATCCGATCTTTGGCACATGTGAAAGAAATACCCGTGAAAGTTTTAAAAGTAGATATTAGCTGAACTTCTGTTATTCTCGTGTAAATAAAACAAAAAGAGTTAATATAGTACAATAATAATTACACACACACACACACGCGCGCGCGCGCGCGTGCACGCACAAATACATTTTATATATTACATGTACGTACATTCATGGACAAGAACTTATACCCTGTTCTACTACAAGAAGAATTGTATTATATACATATGTATATGTAAATATCATATGCCCAATACAGTTATTACATAAATCATTATTTCAGCAATATTATAGCAAAATTGCAAATGTTGCATTAAAATATTAAAGCTTCTGTACTGCATATATGAATCGAAATAGCTCAACCTTGTATATACGTAATTATACATAATTATACATCTATAAAAATAATATGTAGATAGATACTTTATATATGATTATATAAATTTATATATAAATTATATAAATTAGAATATGTATAAACATATATAAAAATGTATAGGAATTGTTATGTATTTATATAATATATTAGGTGTTGGAATTAATTCGTAGCGTTTTACAAGTGATGGGAAGTACTTTCATTAATGTATTTTTTAATGCTCATGTGAAATAAATAACATTCTTTCATTAAAAAACGCTACGAATTAATTCCAACACCTAATATAAATACATAATAACAAATTTATATTTAAGTATATATAAGCATAAAAGCCATTACATATAAAATTATATATAATTTTATAATAGATTATACGTAATTATATATATTTGTATATAATTTTACATGATTATATGTAATTATATATGAAATATTTTTTACCGGGTATAGTTTATACTAGAGTAATATAGCACATACTGCAGAGTACTCAAAAAATGATCGGAACGTGCCGTGCTAAGCAAGAAAAAAACATAAAACATATAAAATGATAAAAGGTATTATTTTAATTATCGAAAAGAATTCATATATATAATCTGCTTTATACCGAACCTCTTTTCCGGAAAATATGCTTCTAGCGCAGCTTGCGAAGCGATCCAGAATTTATCGGCATTTCTCGAGCTAAGCAAGAAAAATATATTAATCATATTATGATTAAAATATTATGAGATATAGATGGATCAAATAATTAAGAGAAAATATAAGAAACTAATAATAAGGGTAGAATATATAGTGAATTTATCCCAGTTTCTCTTTCTATTCAATCTATATCTATTGGTTACGATACTTACTATACATACTATATATTATATATATATACATACTATATATTTAGAAACTTCTTTATAGCTGTATAAAACAATTCTTTGGAAACTGCATGTTGTAACATACGTAATAGAGTAGGTCCTAGCAGTACACGTACATAATGAAAAAAGGTAATTATTTAATGTAGAAGAACCTTTCAGCTCTCTAATAATGAATTTGATCTTGACATTTGTTATCAAAATCATGATCCTGAGTGATCTTGAGAAGATTTAAAAAGATTAAAAAATTGTTAATCAACAAAGTTGAATGTATATGATACATATTTTAAGGATTAATTTTATTCCTTTATAGAGTGAATTCGGGCAGTAAAAAAATTCTTATTACATGTACATGTATAAAGTATCCATACTGTCAGAATTTTATAATTTTTTAAATTTCCGAATATGAGGCCCTTTCTTGTTAGTAATCTCCTGTAGAAATAAGTGTTTATATCAAATTAATATTTGACAAAGTTTTAGTTTAAAAAGGAATAACTTAAGCAGTACTTCATTGCTCAAACTCGAGTTCTTGTACAAGTTATATAGATATAGACTTCATTAAACAGCGGGTGATGTGGAATAGATATTTGCTTCGTGTTATAAAATGAGGGGTAAGATCGCCTAAGAGTACGCACTTATTCTTTTAAATTGTATTATTTATAGCATCACCGTTTTTCACGGGCTGGATTAAGTTTCCAAGTGCATACTTTTAAGCCATTACATTATTTTTTATTTTTAATAAAAATTATGTAAAAATGATTATAGATATTATAAGTAAATATATATATATATATATATATATATATATATATATCACTAATTATAAGTATGAAGTAGAGGGGTATATGCATAGGGGGATATAAATGATAAAAATTCACAAAGCAACAATTTAATGTAAATACCGATCAGTTTAGTTGTGACAAATACAATAAAAAAATGATCAAAATTACAAAATTCGATATATCAAATTTTGTGAGTTTGACAATTTTTTCTCTTTTTTATTATAGTTGACACATACAAAGTGAGGTTTCACATAGGTTTACAATCAGGGATGGACATAATGAATTAATAATTAATTATTCAAATATTAAGCTGTTATTTTTTTGTCTTGAGTGTTGACAGGAGTGACGAACAAAATTATCTATATCTTGATTTCACTATGGTCGAAAAGCACAATCGATTTACAGTCACATCTTTAATATAATTGGTTAAAAAAAAATCGATTATGCTCAGCACTACTTATATATATAACTTCCCATCGCGAAGCGAGGTTCAACTCAAATTTATTTGTCTAGTTTTTGGTAATAGGATAGCTTCATAGAGGGGGGAGGGGGGAGGATAGAACTCACTGTGTCCACGCATACACTGTTCTATATAATTCCAATAATAATATATTTCAGAAACTTTTCAAATTCCTTTTTTGTTAATAATTTTTTACAAGTAATGGCTAAAACCTTCTGAAGATCATTCGAAGCTCATGATCAACATGTGTCAAGGCCAAGGTCACCGTGGAGCTGATTTTCTTATACTAATTATCATTAATTTTAAGGAAAAAAGTAAATTTTTGTACTCTCTCTCATTTCTTTTTACTTTCATATCTAATTAAATCAAAATCTAAATGACAAGTATTTAATTTCTCAAAATTGCTCTTGTTATTTATACATTTTGCGATTTATGGACAAAAATATTAAATTAAATTTTCAAAGTCCTACCTTTCACATAATATGCAAAAGAGAAAAGCGAATTGATTTCAGAAGAATTGTTGACTTTTGATGCAAGAGGCTCTATAATGGAATTTAAACGAAGAGATTCTTGATGAATTTGAACTACAAATAAATCCCATATACGGAATTCTGGATATACCTATAAAAATGAAATTTTTGTATGATTAATTGATTAATGAATGTACAATAGTAAATATTTGCATTATTAATACTATTAATATTATTAATATGTATTAGCATCTTATTACTATTAATAGTTATATAATTGCTACGTTTCGCTAAACTTATACATTTAAGAAAGAAAAATAATCAGTACTTTTGATGAATAAAAACAATTTTAAAAAGTATAAAATGTTTTTATATGTACATTGTTAATTACACATATCAAATTAATATTAATTATACATATCATATCAATTTTTGTTATCTATGATATTAAAAGTAAGTTTCATAAAATGCATTTTCTTTTAGTCATTTTGCATATCTTTCCCAATGAGAAATGTAATGGAATTGACATTGAATTGATTTCATTGTCATTTCTCACTGGGTTATATAGCGCTGAAAGTAATTTAAAAAATCAACCTCATTAATAGCATCTGTTGCGAGTAATGTAGTGAGACCTTCAAACAACCATAAGTGAGTCCACCAAGTAGGGCTAATAAGATTAGTATACCATTGATGTGTTATTTTCTGTGCTATTAAACGCGCCACGTCTACTTTACGTCCAACAGACTCTAATTTTTTATTATAGGTAATAGCTGCTTCCCTAAAAACCACATTCATAAATATAATATACATTTTTTAAATTTTATTATAATAATATTATTTACTCCATAATTGAAACAGATTATCTTTCTAACATAACAATTATTTTACAATACAAAGACCAAACAATTTAAACAAATAACTTGTATTTTTAACACAAATTAAGAATTTTTATGTAAATAAAAAAATTTGAAGGCAAGAGAATGTAAGTTAATTATTTAAATGATATAAATTGCAATTCCTTTTACTTAATCTGCATTTTAATTATATCAAAAATAAAATTACGTTTTCATGCATATTCTGTCTTATCTTTTAAATCATAAGAACGTATCTCCTTTAAATAGTCTTCTAATTTTTTTACGTATAAAATATATTAAATTAAAATATTCTAAAAGTAAATATTTTTAATAAATTAGTTTGTATTTTAACTATGTATTTTTTTTTATATTGAAAGAGAAAACATACACATTTTGTTGTATTTATAAAATATTTTATCTTTTTTATGCTTTATATTAGCAACATTTTTTATTATTATTTTATAATTGATGGAGCATAAAATATAAAATATTTGTTCATCTATTAATAAGAGATATTTTCAATGCAAAACATGAAGGATTAATAAAATATTTTATAAATAATAAAATATGTAAGAACGTATTTATTTTCTCAACATAGAACATGCAATGTTATGTATATTTTCTGTTAAAAAGTCATATAAGATTATAATGTTGCACAGGGTTGAAAAAATTATTTGATAAATTACTTATAAATTACTTTTTATTATAGAAATTTAATAAAATCAGTTCGAATATTTTTTTATATCGTTTTTATTATTTGCTCCAATTTTGTATTACTATTGTTCTTAATTTCTATAACAAACACCATATAACAAACATAAAATAACTTAAAGTCTAATTTATAAATAACTTGTAAAGTAACCCAATTCTGATACTTTACATTAAGTACTATAGTAAATAAAGTTAATAAATAAAAAAGTATACGTTATGTACTTTTGCGTTCTACAATTAAGCAAATAATGAATGACATTAACATTAATAATGTTAATAATTTTGGATGCAATATCTTAATGTTTAATATTTTTCTTTTTAATTATATTAATTACCTATAAAAAATAAGTCCCCAATACTCCACGCCATCGCGTAGGAAATTTGGTATTGCAACATGATCCGCTTTCGGAAGCTTTTGGAAACAAAGCCATTTTGATTCGAAATATAAAGTTATATTCTTAATAACACTTTGTGCGAATTCTGTATCGAGTTTCGCTTGTAGTGTATGATATCTAAAGTTTATTTCTTTGAAAGAAGTGTTAGGAAATTCGGCCAGCATAATCGCCACAAGATAAGTGGACATTACAGGAGTTTCACGAAAGTATGTCCATGTCATTGTTTGACTAACTTTAATTATATTTCGTGCTGGCATATTCGACAGTGCCATATAATAACTAAAATGCTTTATAGAAATGTTAAAAGTTGCTTTGAATACTGGATCATCCAAACATGGAAATACTTGTCGAGCACCAATTGGATAAAATTGTGTCGCAAGCATCCACCTGTCAAATTTCAAATGATATTCACAAATATTCAATTTTATTCAATATTATTGGCATTGTTTTGGTATTAAAAAGTGACGAGTCGTTTTCCAATGATTCACTTTCAAAATTGGTAATTAATAATAATTACTAGTCACTTTTTCAACTTAGTAACAAGTAATGATAACAGATTATTTTTAATGCCTGAATGTTAATTTGGAAATGGCTTTTAAAATAATTATAATGATCAATTGTTATGTTATATTGTATATTATATTATATGTTATAACATAACAATGCAACCCATAAGCCCATAAGTTATTTTGAAATAAAAATCATAAAATAAAAAAAACGTTGAAAAAATTTATTTTATTTAAAATAGTATCCTTTACAATCAATCAGTAATCATCTCAGTTAGACGGTCACAGTGATTGAAATTTCTGGAATGTTGTCAAATGGCTTAAAAAATGTTAGTCTTAAAAAATATCATCTATCTAATTACCTGATTTTTTTTTATGGATTATATATATATATATCTTGTTTCGAACATTAAAATTACAATTAAAAAATAAAAAATTTGATTCCAGAAATTCAAGCTTATGACTGCTATATATTAATTAACATAAGACTACGAAGGTTATAAAATAAAATTTGTTTTAATAGCGACGATGCGTAACCAAAGCATTGATTATAATAAATCCTACTTTAAATAACAAAAATGTTCAAAATATTTTTCTAACAGATTTTTCATTTTATACAATTTTTATTCAAAATTTATGAATTACCTTGCACACACATATTAACAGTTACTTACTCATTCTCTCCTTCTACATTTTTGTAGTGCATCTCAAAGAAATTTTCTTTATTATTATCCAGAAAAGTAAGAAATGATATGTTTAATACATAATGTCCTTGTGTTAGCTCTTTTTCGAAAGTGAAACTATACATATGATTTTCTCTGTAATATGCAACTGTATCTGGTACTATTCCGTAATATGTTGAATTTTGTTTATTCACAATAATTGTATCTAACTCTATATGTGGTTTTTGTGCATGCAAATATATTGTACGCGATGAAAAAATCAGTCTGGCGAAAATAACGCAAATACCGCGGAAGAATTCTTTGTTACTTTCTTCATCCTGTTGTTCTAATGTAATCTCATAATGGTCTGGTTTCACGTAATTCGGTAACTCAACTCCGTAATCGCTAATATCAAAATATTGATGAATATGAAGGGATTTTGCGTAGTTTAATATTAATATAAGTAATAACGGTTTTAAGAGATTCATGCTGCAATCTTCGATTTATTTTATCTGTAAAAATATTTCTTTATTATAATAAAGCAAATATTAATGTACAACATAGATTAATCTTTAATAAATTTTAATCTTTACCATAATTTTTATACAAAATTGTTAGATAAACAATTGCATAATATTTAATAGGTACAATATATTCGTTAAACATTTAACAAATTATTGAGTATAAATATAAACATAACATTGTTAATGTTATTCGATAACATTTAATTACATTATTGTTCATAATATGGCTTATTTTTAAAATTTATGCTTAATGTAAAAAGTCTTTGTTTCATTCTTCATGTCGAAATCAAATTAAAATAATATTATATAATATAATATAATAGCTAAAACTTATTTCTATAACTGTTAACGGCATAAACTGTATTATATAAATTGTAGAAATATAGAATAATAATATGTTAAGTGTGCAAAATAAGATTTGCACACTTAGAGATTTTGTTAATTAAATAATAATACAAATTAATAATTATAATAATACAGATATGTCAATTTAAAATTAGCAAAATATAAACGAAACAAGTTTTAACTGTAAAGTGAGATATAATTGAAAAGTACAGGCAATAGCAACAGAGAGAATTTTTTCTTAGAGTTTACCTTAAAAATATGATATATGATATATGATAGTCGTGGAACAACATTGTATTTCGAAGAATTTTAATGTAAATTTCTTTCATTCATTAATTAATAAAATTACAATAATGTATAAAATAAGTTTAATTAATTTTACTGAAGTGCATGATAAAAATCTTTAAAATATTGTATTGTACTACAACTACCACATTTTCAAGGTAAATTTTAAAAGAAAATTCTCTTCGTGCAGATTTTAACCTATCAGAAATCGTCAACATATCAGAATACATTATTAAAATTTATTATTTTCTGTTTTTATTCCTTCTTTCCAATTTAAGTTTAATAAATCATTCTCAATTACATTTGTATAAATAGATATTATTCCAAGAAAATAATTAAGTACAAAGTTAAAAAGTCCGAATCATTGTAAACAACTAACGAATGTGCTGAACATGATTTAAATAGAACTAATATATAATATACATAATATATAAAAGATTGAGTTAACGCAATGAAATTCATTACAATATTATTAAATTATAATTAGATACAATTATAAACTATCTTTTGCATATTTTTAATCATTCAAACATATCATTACATTGTTTTATAATCACGAGCAGAATTTATTGCTATAATTTATTTGTGTAAAAATATAATTCAATCTTATATAATATAGTAATAACTTAATTTTAAAAAAGGTGCAATTGATACTGATAACTACGTGAAGCTAATAAACAGAACTGTCTTTGTTTTCAGTAAATTATTTGAATAACACAATTTATTTAAATAACGTAAATTATTTAAATATGTTTTTTTATATATTTTGTTGTACATTTAATGCCAAATTCTGCAAATTTTTTTTCTTTTTTGAAACTTACCCTATATATGTGTTTAAGATAATTTAGGTAAAGGCTTTGTAATAATTGACAACAGCTAATGAATATTATCACATGATTACGATCTTGCTAGTTTAAAAGGGCACCGCAAACTGATGATGATTCTTTCAATATTGATATTATAATAAGTATTCAGTGTAGCATTGACTAAGGTCATTAATAGATGTCGTGATGGACGATAGACATTATTATGTTGTATTCATATTATCGGCAAATAAACCTATAATATATCTATCCTACTTTCTTCGGAAAATGAAGATTAAGAAAGTAATATATAAATTAATAGTCTGTAATTATACTTCAACTTACATAATATCTTGTATAAAAAGTATCCGATAAGAAATATTTCTACGTAACTATATTCTTTAATTGATTTCATATCGAATAGATTAGAATCTTGCCACCGTATTGATGGTTCTGACGGTATCAGCATTACAGCCAATACGGTGGCAAGATTCTAATGCAGCTAGCAATCCAACAGAAAAGCATCGTATGCCGCCGACTTAAGACGATTAAGGTAAATATTTTGTAATGTAACAGTTAACAATTGCTAACGAACATTACATAACATACAACAAACTGTTAATAATGGAAATATTTTAGCATACATTGTAATCTTGTAAGTTCAAAAGAGCACCGTAAACTGATGATTATTGTTTTAATGTAATGTTTTAACATGTATTCAGTTAGCATTGTGTCAACGATTAAGTTCGTTAATAGATATTATGATAATTGATAGTTGCTATTATAATATGTTGTATTTTAAATTGGACAAATAGATTTGCAATTTTTCTAGCTTATCCTTTTCGAAAAATATTTAAAGAAATAATCAAGAAATTATATTTCATAATTATATTTCAATTTAATAATATTTTGTATTAGGTGTTGGAATTAATTCGTAGCATTTTTAATGAAAGAATTTTATTTATTTCACATGAGCATTAAAAAATACATTAATGAAAGTACTTCCCATCACTTGTAAAACGCTACGAATTAATTCCAACACCTAATATAATATTAGAAAATATTCAAAATATATAGAGTTTTCCAAAATATGTAGAGTGATTATACTTTTTGATCGATTTTATATCAATACGTCTAATAATTATATTGTTACAAAATTATTATTTAAAAAAAAGGTAAAAAATGTGCCAAGTATACGTGCTTGTTAAAAAATAATTGTTATGCCATATTTAAAATATAAAATAAATATCTTCATGTATTTTCATTTATTACTGCTTATATTCTAATTCAAGTGATAGAAATTTTAATTCTTTCAAAAAAAACAACGATGTCACAACATTGCGTTAATTAAAACAAAGTATATAAAATAATATTTTCTAACTCAACTTAATAGATATATTCTCAATTTTCCATTGAAGAAGAATTCTGTTTCATCCTAAATGATAGTGCTTTTTTGTTTTATAACTTAAAATTATAAAATATTTAATATAAAAAACTTGGCGCTGCTATCTTAATATTTGCTCTAGCTCAATGAGCGGTTATACATATATTCATGATCGTACCGACATTCTGCTGCGAGCTCCTGGTGTGAAGCAATCGATAAGGTACAGCATCCGGTCTGTAAAAAGTACATGCCTCGCGTGCTTGGTTGCGTGAGTTAATAAGCAATGTGAATGACTGAAAGATACTTAACCGCATTAAATAATGTTCACAAGTGCGCTATAAACTTAATTTATTTGTTACATTCAAATACATAATTTTTCTAACATCTTCCACGATTGGATAGTAAAAAAAATCTTAAATTATCTAGAAATACGGTATTATTATGGCCGATATTTATAATTGATTTTTATATTTAAAACTTTATAGCGAATTCGTCAGAATTCGCACTAGTAGTGCGTACTGAATGCGAACTTTTTCAGTGCTACGCATTCGGCTTATGCGGATTGTCTCAGTACGTTAAGTCGGACCAACCGAATATAAATAAACTGAATGAGTTCAAGAAATATTGTATTGACGTTTTTGACAGTGCAATTTGGTATAGCACTGAAGTGGTTCTGCACTCACACCACGTTAGGGCAGCACTAAAGCGGAGTCAGTGCATGTGTGTGTTGGTGTGTATCGAATTCACCAAGAAATATTACTTTAAGATGTCATAAACCAATCACAGAGTTATATTATATCTACATTATCTACCTAAGACGGTTTTAAAATAAGAATTTAAAATAAGAATAATCATCTATGAATAAATTTCAAGAAATAAATTTATTCTTAATGCAAAATAAGTAACGTAAATATAATATCCGCAAAAAATATAATTTTATTTATCAATTCTTGTTAATTAGACAATTATATATGTTAATTAAATTTACGTGAATTTATACCTATCGAAAAGTACACAGAAAGTACATCGCAAGTACGCTTATCAGTACGATTGAATCGAAAAATTATGCAGTTATGTATAATTTTTGATAATAATATAAAAATATATTATCTAATTTTGAGCTTGACAGAGAAAGCATAAACCAAGATAAAATAATAATTTATGACATATTTGTACATAAGATATTTGCAATAGTGGTACAAATGAAAGGAAAACATGCAGATTAATACAACGTAGCCTCGGTAAAATGTAGTGTATATAGATGTATACGGAGGAAAAATAGCTATTATTTTCATATCGTTTTCGCTCGAAAAAACTAGGAAAGAAGTTTCCGCGTGGTTGTTATTAAAGAATGCACCGATGCCGAGCAACGTATCTGCGATCGGGCGATAGCTTTTGAAGTAAAAAACGGCACGTAAAGTAAGTATACTAATTGAGAAAAATGCAAGCAGCAAAAAGTATAGATAATATAAACGTCGTCTATTTTTAGGTAATGCGATGCGATTGAAATAGTCATTACTCTAAGATGCTCAAAAACAATAACACATATTTATATTATATTGACACGCAATAGAAGAAACAAGTTATGTTTGTCTGTAATCTACATTAATCAAGAGGAATACATGGTTTTCGATTACAACATTCTTGTAACATTTATTCTAAATTGGGCGAGTTTGATTATTAATGATGCGATCTAGAACGAACTTTGATTTTTATATGTCTTAACTATGTAATATTTACATCGTTTTTGTTTATATTGATAATGATCCAACAGATATCGAAACGTTTGTTTTGTTTTTGTTTTGTTTTTATTTTGTTTGTTACCGGCAAATTAAAGTTTATGTTTTAATTAATGACATGTTTTATTTATTAACGGTTTAAAAAAATTTTTAACGATTGTTTTAGGCTCGTAGCCCTTTGTCTTTCTATTTTTTTATATTTTTCTTTTTTCTTTATATAATATATTTTTTATTTACTCAAATAAAATATAGTGTACATACGTTATTCTTTTGCAAGTAAAAAATATTTTCTTATGTATTATGTTTAGTATTAATGCGAGAGTCATTTATCAAACTATTAATTCAAGGAAGCTAAATGATAACATTAATTAGATTTTAAATGGACTTTAAACAAAGTCAGTACAACATGCAAATCTATCGGAACTCGGGACAACGGAAAACGGACAGACGAGGACGCGATTGACTCGAGCATAGAATGAAGAAGAAGAAAAGGAGAAATGGAATGTAGCGAATGAGGTCGCTGCCATTGGAGGCAAACTACTACTGCGCTCTTCTAACTCCTCCTGGCAAGTTGCTTTCGAATACCACAGAATGACGGAAAACGGTATCCATTCACATTCCCGTAATGACTAATTCGCGCTGTTTCTTACGTGACGCATATGCATGTGTTCGGAGCGGTTATGTATCGCGGTATTAAAAAATTTGATCAACGCTATCATATTTCTCGAACGTGAAAATTTCATTACTCAATTATTTGATTCTTTTATTGTATCAGATAGCAAACTTTAAGGACAATTCAATTTAAACTTTAATTTTTAATACATTAATATCGGGAATATATTTGCAGAAAGTATTATATTTTGCAAACGATATTTTTTTGTCACATTGATATACTATATATATGACAATTAAAACAATTAAATTATAAATTATAGAGACTATCTTTTTTTTGTAAATTTATTTATTGTATTATTAAAAGATACATACAACTATTACTTATTCGATTAAAAAAAATTATCTAATGTACATAATTTCTAATGTACATAATTAATTCGTTTTGTACACTGTGATTTTAGTATTAACCGCAATTAATCTCTAATGTATAAAATTTAATGAAACATAAGATAATAAAAACAAAAATACAAGTTATAGAAAATATCTTTCTTTTATATAAATTTATTCAATGTTTTATCTCAGAAGATACAAACAAAGAGTAACAAACTTATTTATTAGATTACAAAAAAATTATTTCTAATGTAATTAATTCGCTTTAGTCGTACATTATAATTTTTATACTAAGTAAATAAATTAATCTATAATGCATAAAACTTAATGATCCATCTTTCCTATATTAACTGTTAAGATAAAAAATATCTTTTACATTCGATTGTCATCAAGATGTAGAGGTGAAATTATTATATTAAATTGAACAAGATGTAGAAGTGAAATTATTTTAACATGATTGATTTAATTTGTAAGCAATACATTTATATTAATTGCTGCATTTGATAAAGAGACGATAGCAGGGTTTCTCTGGTGGGACCAGAGTTATAAGGGGTTTATCATTACGCATGGTTATCCACGTGTCCGAATTTAATCGTATCATGTAAAAATCATCGCGAGATGGAACAGCAGGCTGATTAAACGATTGATATTTGTAATCGATAATTCCATTCGTGTAACCGTTTTTTCTGCACACTTTTACTGCCTCCTCATGTGACGTAATTTCTGACGGATAACATAGAGTATGCCATACACCGTAAGAGCGTTGCATCACTTCGCCTGCAGCAGGTCTGAAAAGCAATTAAACAAATTTATTAAGTTAAGTTAGTGAACATGTTCATTGCTCCATTTCGTCAACATTTAATAACATTGTATATCATTCATATATCAATGATGTCACAGCTCAGTCAAGTCTCACCTGTCATCTGAGAGTTGTTGTACTCCTCTACAATCCATTTCGTCTTCGCCATTCGGACAGTCATTATCGCCATCGCACACGAAATCTTGCGAGATGCAAGTATGATTTTTGCTTTCTCTGCACATATAATGTACATTTGTATATATAATTACTAATTGTAATAATTTTTACAAGATTTGTCAGTTATTCAGCAACACTTTTTAAAGTGCTATCAGAGATATGAGAGACATTTTATATGGCATATATTAATATTATCAACTTTGATAGGGTTATAGATAACTAAATGTAAGTATATTTAAGTTAGAAAATTCTTCCATTATAATCTGTATGTTTAATTAAGAGAATCGAGAACGACACACAGTTTTGGCAAAAGTACAGATAGAAAATTTATAAATGAAATAAATGCATTTATTGTGTCGATTTCAATCTATATAACAATTATTTATTAATTTATTAATTATTTATTAATTTTAAGTTGGTTCCTCACAATAATTTCAAAATATTATGTTATTAGGATTTATATACTAAGTAAACTATAGTGCATAAAACTTAAACTTTTTAAAATGATCCATATTTCCTATATTAACTGTTAAGATAGAAAATATCTTTTACATTCAATTGTCATATCATGAACAAGATGTAGAAGTGAAATTGTATGAGAACTGCCAAAACATGACAATTATTGAGATCTATGTAAGAAAACAATCGCAAGTTCACAATAAAACTACATAAATAAACTACGGCCCCCGAATAAGTATATCATCGACTTGCATGACGAGAGAATATATATGAGCGATTTAATCACAATTTTAATTTAATGACTTGCCACATTAAGCTTAAATCAAATTTTACGAAAAGAGTATAAGCGCGATTTGAATTTATTGTAATAATTTGCAAATATATACATAAGTTTTAATTTATTTAATTGAATATGTAAAGTTACTGAGGATGACCTAATATGAGGTCAAAACGTTTAACATTGACGTTTATTATGTTTTATTATCAAAGCAATGTTTTTAAAAATTAATATTTTTTACATTGATATCCAGCACAGCTTATATAATGCTTCTTATAGACAATTACTTATTTATTAATATTATCAATCTTACGTATTGCATTTGAAGCTGGTAATGGTACATTGACATTCTTCTGGCGATTCGTCGGTTTTATCGAGACAATGTCGTACTCCGTCACACAATCGTTCTGGCATAGTCAATTTTAAATATTCTGCACAGCTACATATTACAGGCTCATCCACTCCGTTCGAGCAATCCACTTTTCCGTCACAAAATGCGCTCTTCGAAATACACTCACCATTTCTGCATTGTATCTCCGACTTGGCGCATTCTACACAAAAATTCATTTTAAAAACATGTGCACAAAGAAGAATAAATCAACAATTAATTAAACATTAAGCTAATAGATTTTATAAAACAAGTCTGCATGATTTTTGCTGTTTGGAGAAGGATAATAATTTCTCATAGTTTTTGATGCGTTGAATCCGTAAGTAAAAATGTTCTATCAGATTTTTGAGAAAAGTGAGATTGAAACATCTAAATACAATGCGTTACACTTCTAAAAATAGGACGCGCCAGAAGTTTGACGCTCGCTGTAAAAGATTTGATATTATTATTTTAAAGTTCAATCATTAATTTGAGTCTTTTTTGAAATATCTCGCACAGTTAGTCAGCCATGAATTTTCAAAAATAGCCAAAAATAGTCAGAAACATGTTTTTCGGGTATTTTTCTCTCATCTCATTTTTCTCAAAAATTCAAAACAGCACAAAAAACAAATCAAATTGCAAACCTGTGTAATTAATAATTCTGCTTAGAGAAAAACATAATAGCAGCAACTATATTATATAAGTAACAATTACACAAGTATAACTAATCTGTGCTTCGCGGGTTTTCTCCATGTCTTGGTCCATTCTTGATGTGCCAACGTTTCGTGGGCCTTGCAGTCCATTTCATCAGGGCGAGGAGTATCAGGCTGCTCCTCGCCCTGATGAAGTGGACTGCAAGGCCCACGAAACGTTGGCACATCAAGAATGGACCAAGACATGGAGAAAACCCGCGAAGCACAGATTAGTTATATAGAAAGCACCCATGGAAGCATCAAGAAGAATTACACAAGTAATTTATATATATGTATGTAAAATTATTACACATGCAGTTGCAATAACTATTAAAATTCAACTATGTACATTTTTTTTAATTCTATATTATTTAAAAAGATTTATTACTATTGGTCTCGTTTCTTCTTCTAATCTGTTGCACTTGTAAACACATTGCATTCTTCTCATCCGCACCATCTCGGCAATCCATCACACCGTCGCATACCTGATTCCAAGGAATGCATTGTCCAATGTTGCATCGAACTCCATCACATGCGGCTTCAGGCGTTGGTTGCGACACTTTCTCTACAGTGGAAAAATTCAATCACGTTAAATTATATCAGTCATGTTGGAAAAATTCAATCACGTTAAATTATTTCATTGTTCCAAAATACAATTAACGTAAAGTTAATTGGATGAGTAAAAATTAATGGTGTAAATGTATCTTTATATTGAGTCGGGGAAAAAGTTTTTTCGTATTTTTTAATTCAAAATTGTATGTACAATATCTTCATCAAAAATAAATGAAATTTAAATTTAAAAAAAGAGGTTTAAAGCTTGAAATCTATTTTTGAAAGGTTACTATATTTTTTGAGTTTCTGTGAGTTTGGCAATTTTTACATTTAAAAACCTACGAGCTGAAAAAGATGAAAAATTTTCTTTTCACTTTGAGGGTCTCTCACTTGTCCAAAATAAATTTACGAAAATTTTCGACTGTCTATCGTGAAAGCTTGAAGCTTTCCTTACAAAATTATTTTTTTTTTATGTTCCTATGAGTTATTCGTGAATTAAATAAAGGAGCATTCTAACTTTGATTGCTCATATAAAATGCTTCGATAAAAATCATCATATCGCAATTTAAAAAACAGATACTTAAAGCTGAAACTTTGCTTTAACGAATGATATAATTGTAACAAAAATTTTGCAACAAATGAAAAACTTTTGCAAAAAAATTTTTTTAAATACGAAAGAACTTTTTACCCAATTTAAGATTTATGTTACCTAAAGTTTGCGTGAGATAAGCATGGATGTAATCAATGCTTGTCAAGTTCCGCATGCTTCTGAAGCTGCATGGGCCGTCGTTTTCTTGAAATACAGCCACGGGATACCATCCTTTCTCGCTGCGACAAAATACCGTACCGTTCCAATTCGAAGAAGTTCCATTAGTCTAAATACATACAAAAGATAAAATCGAAATTTGATTGCATATTTTGCATTGTTAGTTCATGAGTGAAAATAATCGTAGTTCAATTGTTATTATGAAGCTTTACCGAACATTTAGTGCCTAAAGCTTCGACGAAACAACGATAGCACTTGTCGCAATTTTGGAGGATTGGTTGAAGAAAGATCGATTGTGTCACGTATTCGTTGTCTGTACCGATTGCTACACATAAATCGCTTTTTGCCGGTGGATATATTCTGCGAAAATTTAACAAATAGTTATAAAAGAAAGAAAGAAGATAAAAGAAAACAATATTTATATGATAACCGATGAATAACCAATATACACACTTTTTTTCTAAAAACAGCGGTTGCACGTAACGTGTAAAATTTACTGCAGTTTTTAAGTGAAGCAACGAGACATTTGTTCTTTCCACATCTCTGATTTCGTCAACGATCGATATCTGTTGATGAGGTCCGTCCACGTAGAGAAACGAGTGGCTTTGGCCAAGCAGAGCTGTCGTATAATTCACTGATAATCTACAATTTTTATTTTTCATTATTACATCTCTTCGCTGATATTTATCAAGAGAATCTGATGAAAAATAATTCTAATGAAGAACGATTAGATTGTATATAATCTGCGCTTGACAACTGCATGGAAAGAATAATTTTACTAAAGTATTTAAAAATAGATGAACACAGAGTATAAATAATTTTAGATATCAAAATAATTACGTAAAGGACTCAAGCATGCGATGAACAATGCTGCAAGAAGGTATTCTAGCAATCAGTATGAATAATTGTTAAATATGAATGATTCAAAGTTATTTTTAGATTTCTATTTAGTTAAATTTTTATATTTCGAGCACACAAAACTGTTCTTCTTTCCATGTGCATTTTTGAGATAAGAAAATATTTGGAATAAAACAGGACTCACACTTACCTGATAATTTCCGTGCAGCTCGAACTAGACAAAAGCCAGTTTGGTTCCAGAAGTAAGGCTGAGCAGTGATAACGGCCGTCGACGAATATGGCTGCCAGCCACGGCCACAGGTAGGTATGATTTCCAGTTCTCGGATCGATGACCACATGCGAGTCGGCACTGCTGCTTAAAACCGGTCTACAGCGAAACCGTAACGTCGTACACGTCTCGCCTCCCTTACTCTCCGCAACATGCTGTGGTAAAGGTTTATCACCTGTCGTATTGTCCCACTTCCGCGAGAATTTTGTTTCTAATATCGTTTTGTTCACAACGGCCTTATCCAATGATTGCAAACCCCTGCATACAATTCATGTCTTTCACAATTATTATTTTTTTATTATATACTATCGAGAATAGTAATAATTAACGTATTTGGAAAATTGTACATGAACAAATAAATTGATCATTTTAGAAACTTTATAAGTAAATTTTTGTTCAAACTTAAGATATTAGGGGATTTAGAAAAACTGATACATAGTTGTCTTAAAAAAATCACATTAATTAAGCATTTTTTTCCAACACATTGGATCTCTGGATTTGTTATTCACATGAGAAACAGAGTCGTAATTTATGATTTCCGTTTTCCTTACATTATGTCTTTGTAAAAATATATTCAACAATTAATTATTTCAGCAATTTAACATACTGGAATTCAATGTTACGAATGTGTTTTTTTTTTTAATGAATTGTGTTATTTTTTAATAATAAGTTAAATATCTTTTATAGACTGCAACCCGTTATTTTATAAAATCCTTAAAGGTCTATTCTCATTACATTAATATTAGAATTTCTTAATTAAGAAATTATGTTATATGTACAAAACTTTTCTCATTTTTGTTTTCAGAAACAAAACATAAGTTATTATTTTAAAAATTAGTTTTTTTTTAAAATAAGTTTTAAAAGTGATATGTTTCATTCACTTAACATACGAGATAATAAGATATTTTTTACATATTTTTAATTATTTTTAGTATGACAGTTGTAAAAACTAAAACGTTTCTTTCATTTTTCCAAAAGTTAGATTTTTTAAATAGGGCTCCTTTTAAATAGCTTCCTTAAACAACTAATTTAAATATTAGACTTTTATTGAATGGCTGAACATTTATTGAAAATCAAACGTACGTGAATCCGAGATATTTGCATAAGTTTTCTCCTATTATCGACGTTTTTGTGCTATTCTCCAACATATCTGCCTGAAGACATTCTACATGCCATGTTCCGTTGTAATATCTACTAAGCAAACCTTCTGTGTTTAAAATGGACCAATTATCACTATCTACGTTAACGTATTCCCCGTTTGTCAATGCAACTGAAAAAGAATATTGCTATCGATTTCACTTGATATTTTCTTAAGCAAACATTATACAAAACACAAACTTACTACAGTCAAGCTCGTCCTCGTTTAGAGAGCAATCGAAATTTCCATCACACCTTTTCGTTATCGAAATGCAATCCCCACTCCTACTGCAATAAAACTCGTTATTCTTGCATATACCTGAAAGGATCGTTTTGTTAGATAGGTGAAATCAACGGCGAAATTATGTATAATTGAATACCACAATCTTTTTCGTCCGTTTCATCGTCGCAATCCAGATGTCCGTCGCAAATCGCTGTGGGTTGAAAATTCAACAGATAATCTCTACATGTACAGTCCTTTTCATCAGTTCCGTCCTCGCAGTCTAAGTGTTTATCGCACCTTTTATTGATTTTTATAGTTTGGATTAAACTGAAAATGAGATAACATTGATTCAAAAGTCTGAATTTTAATTAATTCTAATGTCAAATAATTCAATTTTCCTTTTTGTTGTATGCAAATATACTTTTTTAAAATATATTTAGTATTCATTTATTTTTATACAAGTTATGCTTTGATTCTTTAAAATTAATTAAATACTTTAATTAAGTCTTAATTAACTCGCCTTTCGGAGTCGACGACGAATTTATTGGACCTACTTAATTATAAATCTCTTTATCAAAAATGTTAAATAATTAATTAAATTTTCTTTTTGTAATATATGCAAATTTAGATTATTGTTATTAAAATATATACTTACAATTAGTTTTTATTAATTTTTATACAAATTATGTCATTTTGATCCCTTGAAATTAATTAATGGTTTTTAATTAACATAAATTAAATGAGTCGTACAAATCCAGTGTCAACTTCGGAGGATTAGTACTGAAAATTATAATATTTCGTAACTCACTTTGTGCAGGTAAATGTTGATCTAACGTTCGACATCGTTATTTCAGGCGTAGTCTCGTAGATATCTACGATATTTGAATTTTCGTTATTGTAAGTCTGCGTTTCTGTCTGATAGAAGAAATAGGAAGAAGTAGAAATAGGAGTTGCTTCTGTGTTTACTTCTGTAACATAAAAATCGATTAAATTCTGGTATAATATAAAATTAATTTTTTATTATTTTATTAAGAATCCGAGACTTGATTATCATAAAAGAAATTAGCATGATTTACCATTTTTTTCTGTGGTATCACTGGATACTTCCTTAGCTTGTGATTTTATGAAAGTTGGAAAGTTGTCATTGGAATTCCCGTATCTCGCATAATTTGCTTTCAGAATTTGGCATTCGATTTCGTCTTCTGCGTCTAGACAATTTACAATTCCATCGCAATGATTCTTTATTGGCAAACACTTTTTTATGCTCGAATGACAGCTAAATCCTATACACGAATCTAAGGGTTTATTTTCATAAAGAGATGCCATTTGATTATCTACAAAATAAAATATTTTATTAAAATTAAATAGTGAACACAAGCTCATATATAGAGAAGGCATTTTCTATTATAACATATTCGTATTTTTCGTTAAGTAAGACTTACCTAAGATTTTAAACGTTTGCAGAATCCAATCTACGTAATAACTCACTTTCATGTAAACACCGGGCTCATCAGGACGTCCGCATCCGTCACCATGACTGATTAGACCCGCCGCATACCATTGTGATTCTAAATTTAAATTTCTGCAAAAAAAATTTTTGTAATTGTAAAAATATTCAATGCTTCGTTTTCATTAATTATTACCTGCACATTAAGGGACCACCACTATCGCCCTGACAAGCATCATGGCCACCCGCAGGATATCCTGCGCAGATTGTAGCGTTATTCTGATCAGCCGAATGCTTACACGATGATAAAATCGGCACTTCTACTTCTCGCAAATGATCCGCTAAAACGAAATTTTATTTTTAATTAAAGAAGGAGCAAATTACATTTTGTTTTTGAACGGTTTCCCACAAAAGTCAAATAAGTTCATTTTTTTTTAAATCTGAGTTATGCCAAATTGTTCTCTATCAATAGCGTTACATCGTGAACAGCCTTTCGGCAAAAATGAAACAGAAAACAGGAAATATGTTCGGAGAAAAATTATCATATTTATATCCTCTCTCTCTCTCTCTCTCTCTCTCTCAATGGATTGAAAATAAAAAATAATAATAACCATCTCAAAATAACTTGTAAAGAGTAAATACATTATTATTGTTATATAGATCCTAGAACTTTCTAATCTCTCCGTTAGAGTGTTACGAGGATGAGTTTAAAGTAAATATTTAGTTTGTTATTTCTCTCTCACAAATTGATTAAATATAATGAAATGAAATAAAAAGCAAATGTAACAGAAGTTTTGAGTAAAATACATATACCTATGTATTTTTTTAGACATTTGTGTTATATATATATATATATATATTAATTACTAATGCATGAAAATAAATAAATAAATGTTTAAAAATAGATTTTTTATGAACCCTCGACTTTTTCAAAAAGATTTGAAAATAAAGTTTATTTATCATTATTTATAAAAATTGAGCTTACGATCTGGTCCATTTTCTCTCATAGATCCCCATCCAATAGCAATACATATGGATTGCGGCGATGGGCTTGCTTTCCATTCAGCACCCGCGGTATTTAACGTTGGCAAGCAAACCTGGCGAACCCATCGATTGAAAAGAAGAGATTCGTCCAACATGATTACTGCAATATCGTTCTGCATTTCTTCTTTTACATAATTTGGATGAACCATTACGTATTTCACTTTTCTCCACTGTGCCATTGGTGAAAATGATAACCGTCTGAGTATACCGGCTTGTATTTCGTAATAATGCCCTTCATATCTAAAAATTATTAGTAGATACATCTTAAATCGATAAGAAAAATATTTGCGTTTAATAAGTACTATCATTCAGCGTCATCTGTATCTGCAATATATTTATTGTATGTCTAAGAAAACTAGTCTTTGAAAACGCTCATACCGATCCATACAATGGCCTGCGGTGAGTATATAAACTTCACTTAAGATGACACCACCGCAATGGAAAAAACCGTCTTTATAAATAGCGACCAGGAAAGGCCAAGCTCTAGGTTGACTTGTTCGGCCGCCGACTACTCGCAATTGCGATCCGACGAAGGTATCATTGATCTGCTTTTGCATTTTCTTCTCGGACATGAACTGATTTGGCTTCAGAAGCCTCAGTGTCTCCTGGTACAGCTTATTAAATTCCGCATTTTTTAAGGGGGATTGTTCCTCCATGTATCTTCTAGACATGTAATTATTCTTTGTCGTGTTGAAAGCGGGAGACAAGTTTTGACGTGGGAAGACTTTGGTGCCGCAAGGTAACGGCGGACATTTGACAAATACTGCTGTGCCCGGGCATAATGTCATCTTTATATCATTATTGTCGGATTCTATCACGTAAAGATTTTGAAAGATCTCAGACATACGAACAGTTTGTATTTCTGGCATTGTTCTGTAAAGATGCATCAATTTATTAATAAATTGCAAATATATAATATTTTTAACACAGAGATTTGATTAATTTTATTAGTAAGTATTTGTATTTTTAAAAATATAATTAATGCTTCGTTAGAATCAGTCAGATAGAATCCGTTGGAAATACAATACATTACCGATAGCGTTTTCTACAAAATAAAATTTGGAATTTTAAAACATTATGAAATTTATATTTAGGTATTAATTACATTTTGTCAAACTGTTGCTGACAAAAATTGACAACAACTTCAAAATGTGGATGACAATGTAAGGGCCTCAGAACAAAGCTGACCGTAATCGTAAATGTGAGCCGTATACATATGTAGTTGTAGATCAACGCACAATGGTTTGGCGTACTATTACATGTCGATACGATATATATAGTTACTGATTACGATTCACGTTTTACGACATTATGATTCAGTTTCAACTATTTATGTATTGAAACCCTTTAGTTTCGATTTCGAGGTGATAAAGATCAAAAGAATATCGGCGATAAGTGTCGATATAGGTATACGAAAAAAATAATCGACCGGCAAATGTTTTCATCAATATTATAAACAACAAAAATATATAAAGAGATAAATGTGGGTGATAAATTTCAGTAATTATCATTTTTACTAAATTTATATCCGACATGTTTGACGATGTATCTGATAGAATCTATCAGATACATTGTCAAACATGTCGGATATAAATTTAATAAAAATGATAATTACTGAAATTTATCACCCACATTTATCTCTTTATATATTTTTGTTGTTTATAATATTGATGAAAATTTCTTGACTTGGATGAAGTTTAATAGAGGAAAGCTCCTTATTATGAGATAGCGGCGTTTCTGTTAAACTAATAAACGTTATCTATGAATTCCACCATGAATTTATTGCTCTTGGATTGAAAACTATTTAGTAAAAAATTCATTATTACATCATGCCTGTAATCATTGTAAAACAAGATTTTAGAATTTGAATGTCTTCAAGTTTCATTAAGATGAGCATTTAAATCTTGTTTATTATTTAATTAAAAAATTAATATTTGACAATAAATTCTTTATGTAGTAATAAAGTAAGATCGTACTAATAGAAAAATGCGGGATATGTTAAATTGTTTAATTACAAAAATTAGATTTGATGATTAAAAAACTATAAGGCGTGGAAATCATAATATGAGATATCCAGGGTATTCCTAATATGAAATAACCCATGCTCCTGTTATAATGAAAATCGTTGCTAAAGTATAAATGTTATTGTACAATAATAAAAAAGACAACCGGAATAAACGTCGAGTGCCTATATCTGCGATATCGATTTCAACTATTTGAAAACGAGTTCTGGGTATAATTTATCACATGCTCATTTTTCGCACACGGCTATGTTTGTTTGTACTTTAGAAACATTAAATAAAGTTTTTTTTTTAATGCAATACTGATATACTTTGCATTTTTTACTATCTCGATTTCTCGAGGCATCTCATATTAGGAGCACAATTTTTTGACTTTGCAATTTGCTCACTTTTTGCATTCCTTTAATTTTCAAAAAAAAAATAGAATTTGAATTAAATTTTATGTAATCTTAAAGCTTATTAAATTCCCTTCCAAATGACCTATTATTTTTTTAAATTCTGCCTATAGACTATTCTTCTAGCATTTACCCGAAATGAACTCGGTATCTCATAATAGGGGCCTTTCCTCTATGTGCATAAATATATTATAAATGCGTATAATTAACAATTAAATTAAAAATTTAAATTTCGTTTATCGATGACATACGTTAGCGGCAAACCAATTTCCGATTCGCAAGCATCCACCGCCCAAGATAATGTCTCTGAGCAAACGGGATACCATTGCCCTCGTACATTCTTATGTAAATATCCTTGAGTATAACCAACTGCAAAGATCTATAATCGAAATAATATATACATATAGAGAGATGATTGGAAAATATTTATCATAATTTACTATATTACATGAGTCGGCTGAAAAGTAATGTATAGTCGCACATAATTCGTCAACGAAAAGAGGTATTCAAATGAAACAAAAAAGGCACTTTATATTGATTACAAGAACGTATCATTACATTTCAACTTGTAGTTATGACTTACAACTATATATTTTTCTAACAGTGAACCAGTTTTCTCATTTGGTCGATGAAAGAATTCTGATGGTCTTTTCTTATTTCACTGTAACCTTCAGTTCATCCGAAAAATGAATCCTAATGACATTCATCGTCGTTTACAAGCCGCTTAATGATGAAACTGTTGATTGAAACGAATAAGTGTGCAATAAAATTTCGTCCATCAGGAGTTGGCAGATTTGGCGCCTTGCGGTTTTTCCATCTTTCCAAATATAAAGAGGTATTTTAAGAATATTTATTTTACTACGGATAATGAAGGACGCAGTGAAGTCGTGGATCGAGGAAAGATCGCCGGAATTCTTTATTAACCGAATGAAAAAACTGATTCACCGTTGAGAAGAATATAATTGTAGATAATGATTACGTTAAAAATAAAGGTACGTTCTTGTAGTAAAAAAAATGCACTTTTATGCCTTTTTCTTTCGAATATTTCTTTTCCTTTACAAATTATGTGCGACTAAGCGTTACTTTCCAGTTGATCCGCGTATTAGATTTTAAATCATTTAGGCCCAGTTACTTTGACTTTAAGCGAGACTTAAAATTCTCTCTATCTCGTTTTAAAGCCGAAAAAGAGACAAAGACAAAGAGGGTTTTATGCCTTGCTTAAAATCAAAGTAACGTTGGTGCAATCAGGCCTTAGTAAATGTATAACATCGCACATACATCATTTGAACCCATATGTTCTAGAAGCATATTGCAGTCGAGCTCGTCCTTTCCGTTAGGACAGTGTTTTATCCCATCGCAACGTTGCGAAAGTAATACGCAATTATTGCTATTATACCGCTTGTCCCAGTCGTCGCAATTGAAAGATTCCATTGGGCAACCTAAAAATTTAAACATTCAAATTAAAAAATGCGTATATTTTAAATCCTTTTTCTACATTCACATGTAAGATTATATAAGTTTAAAGGATAAATATATCATAAATTCATATTTCAAGCGATGGGATTATGTTTTATATAAATCGCTTGCATGAAGAAGTTTCGTAGATAAAGTAGCTTCTAAGTTTAATTAGTATTTAGCGTCATCTGGTGGACAACTGCAGTAATATAAAAGAAGGTGTTATATTTATGATAAATTATTATTTCTTCAACAATACGGCTGAATATAATTGTCTACCGATTCTCAATTAGTTTTTTTTCAAGGCAATCGCAATGCTCAGTTGGTCACTTAGGTTTCTGTGTCACATATATCGCTTTAATATTTATTTGGCTAAAAAATAAATTAAGTTATAACTGTAAAAAAATAACAGTATTAACAAGCCCATTAAAATTTGAATAGATTAATTATTTTTGGCAAAAATACAGTCTTTCATATATTGTATACATATGCATATGTATATAAACGTATTGTGCCAAAAAATATTGAAAAAATTCTTATCACATATAAAATGCAACAGAACATATAAGCAAAATCGAATTCTATTTCATTTATTTAAAATGTATATATATTTATACATGTACATATATATATATATGTGTGTGTGTATATAACGAAATATCTATTTTTACCAAAACAACCGAGCTCATCCTCTCCATGTGGACAATCGAAATAACCGTCGCAGAGTCGATTTCGTGATATTCGATCTCTGCAGGAGCATCTCGTTTCGTCGCTAGCATCGGCGCAATCGACACGGCCGTCGCACCATTTTATCCTTGGGATGCAATATTGATTATCACACTGATGATAATTTATAGGACATTTGTTGAGCGTATGGTATTCTAAAATAATTATCATGCCGTTAAAATTACCGCTCTAATTGATTTTAAAAAATTTCAATTTTCAGTTTCAGGTTTCAGAATATCGTAAAAAGAAAAATAGATATCGCTCCCTTACTTCAAAAGTGATACAACAAAATCGATACGATTAAAAAATTAATTGTTTCCCAGAAAACAGAAACATTATTTTCAACTTGACAGAAAATTATAATAATGAAATAATATCGGCAAAAAAAAATATTTTAACATAATCAAATGTCATAATTATTTTTAAAAATCACTTTTTTTTAAATTTTTGATAATTTTTTTAAACATTTTTTTAGAGGCTTTAATTTTTTGAGAGTCTTTAACATTCGTTGTGACCAATTTTATAATTTTTTATGAAGTTAAGTTAATATATTTTTAATTATAAATAAGGTGATGTTTATTTATTTATGGTAGTACTCGTCGTACATCTATACGAAAATCACGTTTTTTTTTTAATTGTGTCACTTTTGATGCAAGAAAGCGATATATATAATAATTAAAATAATTAAGATAGATAAGATGAAATAAATATGTTATGTAAAGAAGAGGAACGATACAGAGATGAGATAAAAAAATTGAAAAAATTCTCGCAGGAAATCTGCAAAACTTCGCTTACGTGGATTATGCTGTGTGATAACACCGACTTTATGAGGTAATTTTTGTGATTCTTTTGGAAGATCTTTAACTTCGCCGACAGAGCGGTCAGATTGCGAAGTGTCAGATATCGGTGGAAAGTGAACGGTCGATAGTGACATATAACCGCAGAAATATGGCATGTTTGCAATTGGTTGCTGGGACATTGCGGTTGATTGCTGATTCAACGAGAAAATTGGTGCGTTTGGCATGGCAGGTCCCGTAGGTCCGATGGCTTGAGCAATCGATTGAGGTAGACTGTCGGCGTAGTTCAATCTTGACATAGGCGTATTCGCTTGTATCTGCATATAATTCGGCGAAAAACCTTGATGAAGCGGGTTTTGAAAAGGAAATCCGCGATGTTGCGTTGAAGAGGGACTTGAGTAAAATGCTGATTCTGGAGATAATGGCATGTTGGAAAATTGTCCAGGATAGCCAAAGAAACAGATTGGATGTGGCATTGTCCACGTTGTGGGGGTCAGTTGTAACTGCTGAAAGGATTTCGTGGTCTTCACGGCTACTGGCATAGGTTTGCCATTGTCTTTTATTTGGAAATGATCGGCCGGCATGAAATGCTTGTTATCACGATGATTTTCTTTCAATCTTGATCCTGCAAGTGTATCTTTCTTAAAAATTTCAGTTATTATTTTCAACAAATCGTAAACATTTTACAGAGGACAGAAATACATAGTAAAAAATATATTTTTTATACTTGTATTAAAATCGGTTCTTGTTAAAATTTTTGTATTAAATTTTTAACATACTTAAGTGTTAATTTAACATAATGTAATTTTGTTATTTTATGATAATTTAATGTTTATATTATATTTATATTTTTAATGATAACATAACACAATTTAAGAATAAATGGCAAAATATAAATAATGTAGTTTTAAAATAAATTTTAAGATAAATAAATGAAAAATGAATATATGTATATGTTAATTTTATGGAAGAAATATGTTTCTTCAATTTATTTTTAAATTGCAATCAAAGTGTCACATTTTTTGTATTAATTTTTACGAAATGTTACATTGTAACATCTATAACACATGCATTCATTTTGTGTTAAATTAATGAAAAAAATTTGGACTGTTTGAGTTATAATGCGTTAATTTAATACAATTTTTCAACTGTGTACTGCAAGAATAATAACAGTCTGGAAAAGAGAGAGAGTTTAGTATGTACCTGCCTCTGATTTATAAGTTAAAAACACTTCCTCGATACGATTTAATTTAAAATCATATTGAGCGTTTTATGTTATGTATGAATGTTATGTATTATGAATATTCCGAGACTTGGAACTTATACGACTCTAGTGATTACGTAAACTTAACTACTTATTTGTTTCTGCATTCTAAATATTTTTTGATAAACTTAAAAAATATAGAATATTGGAAGTGTAGAATAAAAAGGAATTAGCAGAAAAAATAAGGAGAAAGTATATATATATAATATATATATCTTAAAGAAGCACATTCATAGCATAAATATTGATGTTTGTAAATAGCAAGCGACTCTCTCTCGCGATTAATTATTTCATTATATACTCTTTCCAATATGTATTCTTCCCGATTGCATACCGTTCGTTGCTGTAGTCGATCGATTTTCCGGGTGTCCCTCGAACGAAGGATGCGCTGAAGGATGCACCGTATTACCATTGATTCCAGTCACGTCGTATACCACTGGCACACTGGTCACGTTTTCAGTAATCTGCTTCGTAAGATCAATGATGGTCCGTATTCTTGTTTCGGTTGTTCCTATCGAATCAGCTGCAATCGTGGTTTTCATGGATTTTCCATCATCTTTTGTAACAGTGTCATGATGCATTCTTGTGCTCGATTCCATCAAGAACAACGGCTTTACACTCGTGACACCTTCGTTTGCGGTTATTATACTTTGTTGTTGATCATTTTTCGATACTGCAGAAATGCCTTCATTGTTTTGGCTTTTCATCACAGGCGAGTTATTTACGACTGAATTCCTGTCGGACCATTTAACGTTGACGTCTGAATTGTTACTGTCAGTGTCGTTTACATATATCCGTTGGCTTCCATTAGAATTTGTGTAATTAATTGATACAGTACTGGTTTCCGATATGACGTCTTTCAATGACTGATTCGTGGCATTTTGTAATGGATCATCGATAACTGAGTCCGTTTCCAGCAGTTGGATATCTGCCGCTTTTATCTGATTAACTTCCGGCAGCTTTGAGCCATTTTCAGCCTCTCTGTCATCCAGTAACTTGATGGTAGTGCTAAAATCGCTCGAACGATTTTGCTCGGTATAATCATGCGGGAAATATCGATCTTTCAATCGTGACGTATAATTTTCATTCGCGATGCTTATTTGTTTACACTCAAGACACTTTAAAATATCTCTAGGCAATGATTTTTCGTCGTTTGTCGCTGAAAACTTATTATTGAGATTCACCAGATAGTCTTGCACCGTGTGCAACAACACCTTACAATATTGATCGTTCAGAGCGCAATCTCTTCTTTTGCGAGATACCTCCCGCTTGAAACGCGTGTCAGCGTCTCTTCCATTTATCGTTAGAAATGTGTCGTCTTTTACAACTTGTGTTATCTGGCTCGTAAGCTCCGTCTGATCGCTAAAAGATGGATCTCCATCTATCACTTTTCCAACCCGGGACTTCAATAATGATCTTCTGCTGAGAGGAAAGCCTAGTCTGATCACTCGTTCCACACGTATTTCCGGTTGAATGCGAACTGAAAGAATCATGGTAGAAGAAACGATTCTTCGAAGACATCGGCTGGAAATTGGCGATTGCAAGAACGAACTAGAGTAAAATTTTCAAGAAAAACAGTATGTACTTCTACAAACACACGTAATATTTATTAATTTTTACCTGAAGTATTATGAGCGTCATGTCCTGACATTATAGAAAACATAAAGTTGATAATTGTTATAAAAAGTACAATCAATAAGATTGAAATCGCTCCAATCAGAAGAATATGTTTGTGTCGTGCATAAAAATTCGAATGGCTACGCCCGCTTGACTTCGTCATGCATTTGTTAGAAGTTACGCCTAAAATCGTGATCAATATTAATCTTAAATGTTGAAAATACATATATATTACAATAAAGCAATATTCACAATATAGATCTGTTCGCGTTGCCCGAAATTTTTTCTTAAAATAAGATGAGTATAATGTATTCGGATGTTAAAAAGAGAAAAAGTGATAATTTTAAACGCAAAAAGTGCAAGCAATTTGAACAGATCTATTGGCATTCTTGAAGGACTTATCCAACTTTAATACAAGATGAATGCTTTAATCTTTAGATTTATAAATTCACCAACTCTACGATAGATCTCTGCATTTCATTACTCATAACTTTTGATCTTATAATTGTATAAAAAAATATTTCAAGTGAATTAAGTTCCTTGGTTTTTACGTAATCCAATTTCTTTCTTCGATAGAATTTGAAATTTCAAAGTTGCTCCTCTACTATCCTCTTGAAATAGAACTCCAAAAAATCATTTGTAACACACTTAAAAGAACTTTTTCTAATAACAAATCATCATTATTCATCGTATTTAGAAATCACTGGATATAAAAGTATCTCTAAATATTAGTCTGTAACACTTTATTTGAGTTATCCTATGATTTTTAATTTATTATGCTTAATATAAAATGCTCTTCAAGATTTTCAATAAAGAACTAAATAATATGTAACTGCAGGATATGTGTTTCTCAAATATCAATTGTCAAGTAATAAAACTTACCTGTATTTCGAATTCTCGAATCCGTCAACACAACGCAACATGGTGAATCAATTGGAACATCGACCAATTGCAAAGGTAGGCTTTTATTTTTATCGATGTGCAGTTTATTCGATTTATCCAAAAGACGCACTAATTACGCAAAAGAAAATTAACAAAATAACATTAAATAACATTACTTTAAATCCGAAGCGCCACTACGGTCTAAGTATTAAGATGTTGAACTAATATATATATATTTTTCAAACGAATGAATTAATTTCAGAAATGATAATTACGTGTCGATATGGTTGTCGACATTAACGCAATTGATCTGAAATGTTAATAATTCCCCCAAAATTCAAAATAATATTAATTTAAATATAAGTCTTAATTAAATTATACAAAATTCTTGAATATAGCTATGTTTTCAACTTACTTTTGATTAACTTTTAAATTTTTTTATAACGATCGTGCCGTTTTGTATAAAATTCCTAACTTTACTGATCTTCACACGAGATTACACCGGTAACGACTAAACTCTGGATTTGATAGGCAGAGTTCTTCACCACGGTGCGACAGAGAAAAATTGCTGACAGCTTATATCGTCTCCTATTACTTTCATGTGAATGAACCCTTTTACACGCATTTACATTTCGACAAGTGTCTCTGTCGCTGAGCTCGCAAAAATCTGTGAATGCAATTCTTGGTTTCCATCGCAAAACTAAAATGTTGATTTTAGCGCGCAAGCATAAAGATAAGAATTAATTGATCTTTATTGTACAGATCTGAAAACTTGATAAAGTTTTTGCATATATCTCATATGTTCAAAGAATACAACGCTCACGATTAATGACTCTCATTGAAAACTCCAAATCTTAATAAGAAACTATTATTCTTCATTGTGAAAAGTTTCGTAACTTGTAAACTTATTTCTATCTAGCGGAAAAATAGAATAAAATGCCAAATGATATTTTTTATTGAACGAAAAGTTAACTTAAACAAAGCTTACTATAAATTTTTGTATTTTCATAGAAGAAGGTTTATTGTATTATAGAATATTTTAAATTTATTATATATAACATATTTGCAACTATTATAAATACTACAAATTGATATTTTTACAAAATTCATCAAGTTTTTTAAATCGTACCATTACAAAATAAAATTGATAATTAACAATAATAAAACTAATAATCGATATAAATGTCAAGTGCAAAAATATATTTTTTTGTTTTTTTCATTATTGTTATTTAACAATTATAAAAATGTACTTAAAAAAATATACTTGATTCTTTTGAATAAATGATTAAAATTAGGCATTAGTTAATAATTAAGTATTATTTAATGATTTCTTTTATTAATCTTACATTTTTAATTATTTTCAATTATAAATTCAATACTTCCAAAGGAAATAACGATTTTAAAGACCTATAGGTAAGATAGGTAAGAAGCGACCGATCGCCTAAAGTCTAAATCGTTTTGCAGATGTTACGAGAAGTCTTATAATAAATTAATTTGTTATTAGTGAAAGATTGAACGTGTAATGATAAGTGTCCAAAGCCTCAAGCTACAATTTTCAATGTTCATTTGCGTACAAAACGGTATCAAATAAAAAATATAATAAAAAATAGATTAAGTAATACGCATTCTCTTTTACCACTTCTCGAGATGAGAATAAGATATCTCTTTATAAGTAGAACAGATCATAAAAAATTAAATTTGTTTGTAGTAGTGTACATAACAACGCAAACATTAATGCTGCAACTAAAGGAAAATGTTTTGAAATATACTGAGATAAGTTATATAATGAGATAAGTTTTATACAGGTCATTACCTGTATTGCGTTACAAATTAGCTACACATTGCTTATTGTAAAATAGTAATAACTCATATTAACATAATATTATTTAAATAAGTCATGTTTAAATATCTTCACAGTTTCTACAATACTCGGATTGTATAATTCTGTAATGTAAACGCTAAACTATTTTACAAAAATAATGATTAATATATTAGCACTAAGGAGAAATTAGTATTTTTGAAATACGGAAAGTAAGAAAGGAAACAATTACAATGACTGGCTGAAATTTGAGTTGATTCATGTAAAAATAAGAAAGCCGGTAGAAATAACGCCGTTTATAAATTGGCATCATTCAGAAATAAAAATAGTGTTTTTAGTGTAACGCGATATTTCGCATTATTGGATTGAGATTATCGCGTATACGCATCAACATACAATGTGCAAAGCTATCATATATTCGAAACATTAAAAAGTCATAGCATTACATTTCTGTTGCGACAAAAAAGAAACATGATACTTCCTGAAATTTGCGTAAGAGAAAAGGTCAAAAAAGTTTTCTTAATATTAGATATATATCGTTAAATGACATTCTTTCTCATCCTCATATTAATTCTAGTTTCTGTATTTAAGTACTTTATTTTATTTTATTATATATATATGTTTGTGTGTGTGTGTGTGTGTGTGTGTGTGTGTGTGTGTGTGTATAGAGTAAACAAAAATTTTTTTGACGACAAAGTTTTATAAGTATTTTTATCAAATCATTAATAATGTATTAAAAAAAAAAATAAACTCTAGAGTATTAGTTAGAGTATTAGTTATATGTTATTAAATACCAAAAACAATAGAAGAGAATGTGGTATTATGGCCAGTGTATATATTGTGGCCTCCCTTAATATCTCCGCTATTATATAACAAATCCTAATTAAATGATTACTTATAGAATTATTTGTTCAGTAGCTCACTGTTACACCATGACTCTAATATAATCAATACTCAATAGTCAGCATTTATTATAACACATTTTTACTTTCAAGTATTTCAAAACATTTCTGAGATACATTTTAGTATTTAATTACATCTATTTCCTCATTTTTTTTAAACTTGAACTATTATCACATGAATATATATATATATATATATATATATATATATATAAGTTATTTGCTATTTAACATTTTATTTGACTACATATCTTTTGAGTTATGCAAATTTAAACAATAGCATGGCATTTTGCTAATATGGCCCTCTATGAATATTGATTACTCTTCATCTCTTTTTTAAGATTTTCATATCAATAATTATTTGATAATCGATTGTAGCTCTACTGTTAATCTAGTTTATATTTCGTATACTATTTTTAATACTGAGATTTTTAGTGCTGAGCAGTTTACATGTAAAAGTTATGTGGATATGTAATACATTCATTTGCATAGATTTTAAAATGTTTTACTTTTTTGTTAATTTTGTTGTAAACCAAATACTGTTTTTTAAACAAAACTATTATTTTAAAGAGTAATGATGTGATAAACAAATAAAACTTCGTAACCAAACTTTTTTGTCACCCTGTACATACCATTCTTAGAAATTTATTTCATATGAAACAATGAATATTTCATATAAAATAATGAATTAAATATTTTATACTGAAAAAGAAGGTGCGAGGTTTTTTTCTTATAAAAATTTAATACTAGTACTAAATTATAGTACTAAATACTTTAATACTAGTACTGTCTAATTAATCATTTATTTTGAATATTAAAAGTATTACTAACGTATTTTTAATACTGAAAGTAAGTGATTAATTGGTCAGTATTACACTTTTATAAGGGTTTTATGAATATCTTTTGATCTTATAGATCTTATGAGATCGAATAAAAATGACTTTTTACTTTGCGCAATTTACGAGCACATTATTACATTTCTTTAGTACATTCTATTCTCCAAGAATTATCTATAAGTTGTTAATTGATTTGTTAATTGATTTATCTACAAAGTTAAATTACAAACGAAAAAAAGAACGAATGTCCGTTTCAAATTAATAGATATGATATGTTTCCGATACAAAACGACCAACTAAAATTATTTTTATTATTACGACTGTTTAATCATCAGCATAAGACAGTCGATAATTCACTTACACATTTGCATGCTGTCGATGTATCAGGCCAGCACTTTATTACTGGCTGAAATTACTTGAGCTATTGTAGAGACGATAATTGCACAATCCACTACATTTTACTTTCTCCTGTGAGTACCCGGAGTCGCCACCGATCGATGAAAGTGACAGTCTGCGTTCTGACGTTACACCGAAGTACACGATTGTTGCGACAATTTCATTTATCCGATTGTGACTGCGAATAATTTGTGACCGTGATTTGATCGCATAATGA